GAACATAGCTAGTTCAGGTCTGCATTCGCAGGCGAGGGACAGGCGTGGGCGCCGTACAAGAGACGTTCAGGAGAGCCTACGGTATGAGTGTCGTCATAGCGATCGCAAAAAGGTTCGACAGAGCCCCCACGGCGCCGACAGAGGACTAATGGGAATTTGATCCATATTGGTTGTCTGCGAGCACTTGTGCGTCTGATGGTCCTTGAAGCAGGTAGTGAGCATGCGTGGGCAGGATGTGGTCACGTGGTATATGTTGTAGAGGTGTTGGTGAGGCATGTGGGAGCGTGCGCAAGGTCTTTATATGTTTTTGCGTGGTTGTGCGATGAGGACCGAGTGTAGCTCAGTGGATAGAGCGATTGACTGTAGTGTTCTATACTGTGTTTCAGTATTCTCGGAAATCAATTGGTCGCTGGTTCGATTCCGGCCACTCGGATTTTATCATGCCGCACGCACCTTCGGCTCTCGTTCTGTTGCCGTCTCTTTTGGCTCTGTTGGCGTCTCCTTGGTCATGCTGCCATGCCTCTTTCAGTGTATGCCTTTCATAGACACGCCAGCCAAAGAATGTGCTCATGGCCAGACTGCTTCGCCATTGGTCTTGCTTGCCGACCGACGCGAAAGCGTTGCTGTTCCTGGGCTCGGAACGGAAACCCCTCAAAATTTCTGTGTGGAATTGGCACACGCGCGGGAAAACCACCTGGTTAATAACAGCAACATACACAAGGCTTAGCGACGCCGTCGTCAATGAAGTAGACAGATCAACCTTACTTTCCGTTTGCAATGGCAGGCGTGGGACCCGACCGCCGCCGTCCAAGAGACGTTACGGGAAGCCTATGGTGTGAGTGACGGCATTGCGGTCGTAAAAAGTGTCGGCAGAGCCCACAAGACGACGAGGGAGGTCTAATAGGAAATGGGTCCATTTTGGTCGTCTGCGAGCACCTGTGCGTTTGATGGTGCGTGAAGCAGTAGTGAGGATGCGTGGGCAGGTTGTGGTTGCGTGGTATATGTTGTAGAGGTGTTGGTTGTGCATGTGGGAGCGTGCGCAAGGTCTTTATTTGTTTTTGCGTGGTTGTTGGATTAGGACCGAGTGTAGCTCAGTTGGTAGAGCGATTGACTGTAGTGTTCTATACTGTGTTTCAGTATTCTCGGAAATCAATTGGTCGCTGGTATGCAACACCAAACATTGCCCCTTCACAACTTCTCACCCAATTACCCAATTTATATGAGCTTTTTTTTGTTGGAAAGATAATGATTTCTTCTCTTAAGTAGTCATAATCATCCTTGAATATCTGCTCAAATTCACATGCTACACTTAATCGAAAAGTGCGTGTCTTTCGTTCCGCCCAAAAAATCGAGGCTATGTTCTTGACATACGGCATCAGATGTTTTGGTCCTTACAAACTTTAGTATTACAATCAACAATGCCCTTTTTACTCATTTCTATGCACATTTGATCCTAGGAAGTGGGGCTGTCGGCGATGCGTTTAACACTGCATGCAGCAATCCCTACGCTGCTCCTGTAGCTAAAACCAACTTCTGCAGATGCGTTGCATTCCAAGCTGCATTCTGGCGTAAAGCTTGTCACTTTAGTCTTCTTTGTTTATTAAATATCGCAAGAAATGTTCTGTGCATGCATGATCAGCATCAATTTCCCGCAGACGTTTGAGCTTCCACCATTTTAATAAAAGACAAGAAAGTCAAACAACGTGTGTTTGTCTGTGATCTCTGTGCTACCCTGTTTCCATTGCGGGTCTGCCAGCATTAATCCGATAATTACTTTTGTATTTATGAGCAAAACAAAAAAATGGTGGTGCATTTCATCTCGCCAGTGCAATAGTGTACCGGTATTGATAACAAAGAGTAATTCATAACTAAGGTATAGGCAGAACCCAGCCGACTCTTGGGCATAATTTAATTTTTGGGTCACAAATGTAGCCAACTGTATTTCATAGGATCGTACTTATACCAGAAGTAGCATGAGATGCGAAAATACTAAAAACAGCAGGGTAAATGCAAAAAAACAAGCATGTGCTTTTCCAAGAATCATGTTTTCCGGAATAAGGCATGGAATTCGCATAAAATTAGATTTTATGCGAAATCAAGCACCATACGCTAAGACACACTTTTTGAGACTGTTATCTATTGAAGCGAGCGTGCGCTGACTTTGTCGAGTCAACCACACGTTTTGTTCACCTTGAACTGCAGCAATTTTGCCCACTCCGAGAAAAGAGGATCCTCTGCGCTCCAGATACCGTCTGTAACGGGGTACGTATCCCTAAGTGTACCCCTAGTTACATGAAGTGTGACACGTGACCTGTGAACTTCACTGAGAGTTTGTATACTCTCGAAAGCTAACTTCCTCTAGCGCAAGGTGCTGTGTGACCCCGTCACACTTTGAAACGGGGTACGTAGCCCTAAGTGTACCCTGGTTACATGAAGCGTGACACGTCATACTTCGGGATATTTGGTACAGAGTACTAAGGTCATCCAAAGCCAACCATTGGTTGATGACATTGCATTCCTAGAGCTCGCGATGGACGCGGCTCTGATCTCGACCGATCACCTTCGTGTTGCTTTTGCACTCTCCAACCTTAGCGGCCGTGCTAAGAGCTGGGTGTACGCACGGGAAGCAACATCCCCTGGATATTTCACATCCTGGGCTCAGCTAGCTCTGAGCCGCGTTCCTCCAGGCGAGCTACGTGTACCGCCAGCGTTCGCGCTTCCTCTCGTGTAAACAAGGGAGGCGTGAGCTGCACGAGTACGTGCAAGAGATACGGGAACTCACAGCGTCCCTAGTGGGAAACCCACTCAACGAACACATCAAGATGGCAGTGCTCATGGACGGGCCTTCTGTAAGGCCCTTCCATGGGGCCCCCTAAGCCACCTCACCTGTTTTCGGGTGCCGGTCCAAAACCTCTCTCTAAGAGGAGGAATATCGTGTGGGTTTTTTTTTTAAAAAGAAGAAGAGAGAGACCCCTCCCCCCGGGGGGGGGCAAAGAACGCGCGCCCTCTCCAGCGGGGGGGTGTGCGGGGAAATTCTCTCGTTGGGGTCTTTCCGCGCCGGGCAAAAAGACCCCCAGAGAACACTTCCCGGGAAAACGGTCTCCCACGGCACTCGTGCTCGTGCGAAAGCCGGGAAATCCGAAGGCTTCCCAGCTGCCTCAGGGCGTGGCAAAGCCAGGATCTCGGGGACAGGGGAACGCCGGGAACCAGTAGGGGCGGGGCGCCCTACTGGGGAAGAACTAAGTCTTCGTGATGGGTGCGCGGGTGGCGCGTACCACGGGGACTTAGCCCCTGAGAGTCTTCGCACTCTCGAATCGGCGAAGAGCAGCGGCGGGTTTCTCGTAGTACACGGATGTGTACGGG